CTCCTTCTCTCTCTCTCTCTCACTCTCTCTCTCTCTCTCTCTCTCCTCCTCTTCTTCTCTCTCTCTCTCCTCTCTCTTTCTCTCTTGTCTCTCTCTCTCGTGTCGTCTTCTCTCTGTCTCTCGTCTCTCCTGTCTCTCTCTCATCTTCTGTCTCTCTCTCTCCGGCTGTCTCTGTACTCTGTTCTCTTTTTCTCTGACTCTGGTCCCTGTCTCTGTCGTGCGGGTGTCTCTGTCGTCTCTGTCTCTGTCTCTAGCTCTGTCTCTGTCCTCTGTACTTCTATTATCTCTCTCTCCCTCTCCTTCTCCGTCTCATCTCTCTTCTCTCCACCCCTATACCTCCTCCTTCTTCTTTCCCTCTCATCCTCTTTTTACCCACTCTCCCTCTCCTCTCCCTATCTTTTCCCCCCTCTTTTCTTAATTACCTCCTCAATTCTCCTTCTCGCTCCCTTTCCCCCCCTCTCTCTCGGTGGCCTTCTTACCCGTGCACAACCTCCCTCCCCTCTCCCTTTCTTACCTTCCCCCCTCCATCTCTTTCTCCCTTCCCCCCCTCCTCTCTCTCTCCTCGCTGTACTCAACTTTCCACAACAATCCAATCAAGAGCATTACCAAAATGTGGCGACGTGCTTGCATCTCGCATTTTCGCACCGCAGCAAAAAACCAAAAACAAAAACAAGAAAATAGAAAGAAAAAATGAGGACAAGAAAAGAAGTAAAAGAAAAAAAAAAGAAAGAAAGAAAGAAAAAAAAAAATAGATCTTTGCGCATCCCCGACCACAACAACTGGTTAATTTTTGCGTCATAAAAAAAAGATATACAAATAAACAAAAACAAAAATAAAACGCAAAGCTTCCTCGCCAGTTGCATTCCTTGCAGAACAACGAGAAACGATCCTTTGCAATCAAGCTGAAACGACCCACCGACGCCGTTGGCAACACTGCGTCACGAGGCCAGGGAAATAACAACGACATGTTACGCGATGGCCCGCGCTCTCTCTCTCTCTCTCTCCTTCTTTCCCTCTCTCGTCGATTTCTCTGTCTCTCTCTCTCTCTCCTCCGCTCTCGCTCTCCGGCTCTCGCTCTCGAGGCTCTGCTCTTTGTCGCAGCTCTCGGCTCCCCAGTCGCTCTCTCGCTCATCTTCGCTCTCTCGCTCATCCTCGCTGCTCTCTCTCTCCTCTCTTCCTCTCTCTCTCTCGAATTTCTCATCTCTCTCTACCGTCTCTTCTCTCTCTCTCTCATCTGCTCTCTCTCTCTCTCCATCTCTCTCCTCTTCCCCTTCCTTCCCCCCCCTATCCTCTCTCTCTCCTGCTGTCTTTCTCTCTCTCTCTCTGTTCTCTCATCTCCATCTCTCTGGTTCATCTCTTTCTCCTCTCTCTCTCCTTCTGTTTCTCTCTCTCATCTCTCGTGTTTCGTCTCTTCTCTCTCCCACTGTTTCTCTTCTCATCTTTCTCTCTCTCTCCCTCTGTTTCAGGTCTCTCTTCTTTTCTCTCCTCTCCCTCTCTCCTCTCCTCTCCCTCTCCCTCTCGTTCCTCTTCCCTCCTCTCCTCTCCCTCGTCCCTCTCCTCTCTCTCTCTCTCGTCTCTCTCTCTCTCTTCTCTCTCTCTCTCTCTCTCTCTCTCCCTCTCTCCTCTCCCTCCCCTCTCCCTCTCGCTCGTCCTTCCTATCTCCATCTCCATCTCCATCTCTCATCTCCATCTCCATCTCCATCTCCATCTCCATCTCCATCTCCATTCTCCGCTCTCCTCTCCTCTCCTCTCCCTCTCTTCTTCTTCTTCTCTTCTTTCTTCTTCTTCTTCTCCTTCGTCTTCTCTTCTCTCGCTCTTCCTCTCCCCATCCTTCACTACGAGAGATTGACATGATGTCCTCCCATCACCAGCAAGGGAGATAAGAGTGACGTGAAAGACAGGAGAAAGGAAGGGCATAGCAACAGAGGCAGGGGAGAATCCACTTCTCCACAAGGTTAGAAAGCAAAGGGACATAGGATAATATGGTCATGGAGGCGATGGAAGAAGGAAATGGAGAAGAAGGAGAGGAAAAGGACAAGCGCAAGAATATCTGAACAGGCACCCGCGGAAGCGGAAGAAAGGAATTGGAAAGGTAGGGAGAAACCCCGCCCCGAGGGTGCACCACGATGGAGCGAGAGGAAACTGATCCGTTAATCTTCGACCCCTAGGTGTCATACGAGGTAATCGCGGTGAAGCACCAGAGGAAACCAAATGACGAGGATAAGGAGAACCAGGCAGTCTATGACGAGAGAGGAAAAATAGAAACAATAGAACAGGCACANGTGTGTGTGTTGTGTTAGTGTGTGTAAGTGTGTGTAAGTGTGTGTGTGTGTTGTGTTGTGTGGTGTGTGTGTGTGTGTGTGTGTGTGTTGTAAGTGTGTGTGTGTGTGTGTGTTGTGTGTGTGTGTGTGTGTGTGTGTGTGGTCTGTGTATGTGTGGTGTGTGTGTGTGTGTGGTGTGTGTGTACGTGTATGTACGTGTGGTTATACGTGTGTGTACGGTGTGTACGTGTGTGTACGTGTGTGTACTCTCTACATGTACATATGCATATACATGCATATTATGTTGTGTGTGCGTGTTAGCAAAGTGTGCTTCTATAAATTACTAAACTAGGACTGGTTTGAAATTACTTTTCATTTCAAATGAGCACGTCACTCATCCTGAAAACCAATCATCTCCAAACGTCTACAAAACTACACACAAAAAAACAATCAACATTCGGGCCGCGAGCGAGATATCCGTCCCAGAAGAAAAAAACTCCTACCGTGTTGTAGATATGATTGATAATCGACTCGAGTCCCTTCTTCCGAAGAACGCAGCGTAGGCGCCCTCGGAGACCTCGTCCACCATCGTCATCACATCCCCTGCGCACAAGGGCCTGCTTCCTCAGCTTGTAGAGGGACGTCCCCGGCGCTGCAGTCTGGCGATCGGGAAACTTTGGTGACGTGTTTGGCCGCGGGGAAAACCCTGTATGGTTGAGATAGGACGCAAAAGAAGAAAAAGGGGGAGGAGGAGGAGGAGGAGGAGGAGGAGGAGGAGGAGGAGCAGGAGGAGGAGGGAGCAGGAGGAGGCAGGAGGAGGAAAGGAGCAGGAGGAGCAGGAGGAGCAGGAGGAGCAGGAGCAGGAGGAGCAGCAGCAGCAGCAGCAGCAGCAGCAGCAGGAGCAGGCAGCAGGAGCAGCAGCAGGCAGCAGCAAGAGGGCAGCAGCAGGCAGGAGCAGCAGCAGGCAGCAGGAGCAGCAGCAGCAGCGGAGCAGCAGCAGGAGCAGAGCAGGAGCAGGCAGCAGCAAAGAGGAGCAGGAGCAGCAGCAGCAAGAGGAGCAGGAGCAGGAGCAGCAAGAGGAGCAGGAGCAGGAGCAGGAGCAGCAAGAGGAGCAGGAGCAGGAGGCAGGAGCAGCAAGAGGGCAGGGGGCAGGAGCAGCAAGAGGAGCAGGAGCAGGAGCAGGAGCAGCAGAGAGCAGGAGCAGGAGCAGGAGCAGCAAGAGGAGCAGGAGCAGCAAGAGGAGCAGGAGCAGGCAGGGCAGCAAGAGGAGCAGGAGCAGGGCAAGCAAGAGGAGCAGGAGCAGGAGCAGCAAAAGGAGCAGGAGCAGGAGCAGGAGCAGCAGGAGCAGGGAGGAGCAGCAAGAGGCAGGAGCAGGAGCAGCAAGAGGAGCAGGAGCAGGAGCAGCAAGAGGAGCAGGAGCAGGAGCAGGAGCAGCAAGAGGAGCAGGAGCAGGGCAGGAGCAGCAAGAGAGGAGCAGGAGCAGGAGCAGGAGCAGCAAGAGGAGCAGGAGCAGCAAGAGGAGCAGGAGCAGAGCAGCAAGAGGAGCAGGAGGCAGGAGCAGCAAGAGGAGCAGGAGCAGGAGCAGCAAGAGAGCAGGAGCAGGAGCAGAGGAGCAGGAGCAGGAGCAGCAAGAGGAGCAGGAGCAGAGCAGCAGAGGCAGGAGCAGGAGCAGCAAGAGAGGGAGCAGGAGCAGGAGCAAGAGGAGGAAGAGGAGAGGAGCAGGAGGGAGCAGAGGGGGAGGGGGGCAGCAGAGGAGCAGGAGGCAAGGGAGGAGGGAGGAGGAGAGCAAGGAGAGGGCGAGAAGAGGAGAAAGGAAAGCAATGCGAGGAAGAGGTGGGTAGAAGGGGAAAACAAAGAAAGAAAAAACGAAGAAAACGCATACATGATCACGACGTTATGCTTCTTTCGTCGGCCATTTCTCACAAAATGGCTTGGTGGAGCATGCTGTCCTCATACACGAAGGTCGGGATGTCGGTCTCACAACGAGTTCCTCTATGCTGTCGAAAGGGTAACCGGAGTTTGGGCAGGATCAGCATGGCCTTGAGGTTCGAGCGGTACACGGAGCCGATGATGAGGGCGGAGAGGAGCCACAGACCACGATAAACCTCCCGGAGTTTCCCTTTGGCATCCACGGGATTGCTTCAAGGGAAGTGAGAAGGAGAGAGAGCAAAATCATGGACGGTCTGGAGGAAGATGTTTGGTCACGCTCGAAAGAACGAGCGTGACCAAAACATCTTCCTCTAATTAGCTAATCTAATAATCTAATATACTGGAGAAGAGGGGTATGGAGGAGGACACTGTAGTGATAGAGGAGGATCGTATGAGTATTCAAGTGGGAGTGATAGAAAGGGTGGGGTATGTTGGAGGGTATAAGAGAAAAGGGGGTAGAGGGAACTTGAGGAGGAGGAGGAGGAGGAAGATGGATATCTGCAAATACTTTAAATGCAGGACTAGGAACAGAGGGTTTGGGTGGGGTAGGGGGGGTGGAGTGTTCCCTTGGGTCATCTCTAGGAAGTTTTGGATGTCTTCAAGGGTTCCTGGGGGGAGGGGTGGGGGAGTTGGATGAAGAGGACTGAGAAACAAAGCTTTGGAGAGAGGTGTTTTTTGCACGCTCGCTATTTCGAAAATAGGCCTATGATTATCTCGTTTCGCTATCTTACGGTAGCAATTCCAACGACAAAAAAACTAGAACAATGATGATCTATCTTCAAACACCTGTACACGACCTACACTGGGCTAGAAGAGCGCCGAGAGTCCAATAGAAAACACTCCACACGCTCTTTGCTTTTTCCTTTCCTGTCCGTTCAGTTTCGTCGTCGGATTCTCCTCTGAAAGGCCTGCTAAAAGTCGACATATTTGAACAGACATCAGGAAGACAATATATACAGTTACTATTATCATCATTTATCACAATCATTATCATTATTAACAGTATAATTTTTCACGATCACTAAAATTATCATTAATTATTCACAGTCATTATCATCATTATCATTCTTTTATTCATCACAATCACTATCAATTATCATATATTATCATACTTATATACCCTTATCAATCATTATCATAATACCTTATCACCATCATTATCATAATTATCATAATACCCTTATCACTATCATTATCATCATTATCATAATACCCTTATCACTATCATTATCATCATTATCATAATATCCTTATCACTATCATTATCATCATTATCATAATACCCTTATCACTATCATTATCATAATACCCTTATCACCATCATTATCATAATTATCATAATACCCTTATCACCATCATTATCATAATACCCTTATCACTATCATTATCATAATTATCATAATACCCTTATCATATCATATCATATTATCATAATACCTTATCACTATCATTATCATAATTATCATAATACCCTTATCACTATCATTATCATAATTATCAATAATCCCTTATCACTATCATTATCATAATTATCATATATACCCTTATACTATCATTATCATAATTATCATAATACCTTATCACTATCATTATCATAATACCCTTATCACTATCATTATCATAATTATCATAATACCCTTATGATTATCATAATACCCTTATCACCATCATTATCATAATTATCATAATACCCTTATCACTATCATTATCATAATACCCTTAATCATTATCATAATACCCTTATCATTATCATAATACCCTTATCATTATCATAATACCCTTATCATTATCATAATACCCTTATCATTATCATAATACCCTTATCATTATCATAATACCCTTATCATTATCATAATACCCTTATCATTATCATAATACCTTTATCATTATCATAATACCCCTTTATCATTATCATAATACCCTTATCATTATCATAATACCTTATCATTATCATAATACCCTTATCACTATCATTATCATAATTATCATAATACCCCTTATCACTATCATTATCATAATTATCATAATACCCTTATGATTATCATAATACCCTTATCACTATCATTATCATATTATCATAATACCCTTATCACTATCATTATCATAATTATCATAATACCCTTATCACGTATCATTATAATAAATATCATAATACCTTATCACTATCATTATCATAATACCTCTTATCACTATCATTATCATAATTATCATAATACCCTTATCACTATCATTATAATAAATTCATAATACCCTTATCACTATCATTATCATAATACCCTTATCACTGTCGTTCTTATTACAACATCCAGCTTTCACAATTACCTCTACTTTAAGCTGAATATTTACCTGAACTGGAAGAGTTGGATCAAGAAAGTGCAGCCGAACACCAAAGCCATAGTCGTTAACAACAAAAGCCACATCTGGTAATAATTAGCATAATTAGTATATCACATTTGTCAACATACAACAAAAAGCTATTGTACGCCTGTATTTTATTCCCTGTCGTTAAACATACCTAATTAGTATATCACATTTGTCAATATAGAACAAAAAGCTTATTGTACACCTGTATTTTATTTCCTGTCGTTAAACATACCCAATTAGAATATCACATTTGTCAATATACAACAAAAAGCTTATTGTAAATCTGTATTTTATTTCCTGTCGTTAAATATACCCAATTAGTATATCACACTTGTCAACATAAAAATAAAAGCTTATTGTAATCTATTTTATTTCCTGTCGTTAAATATACCCCAGTTAGAATATCACACTTGTCAACATACAACAAAAAGCTTTATGGTACACTTGCATTTTATTTGCTCATTAACATACCCAATTATTATACCACACTTGTTCATATACAACAAAAAGCTTATGGTACACCTGTATTTTATTTCCTGTCGTTAAATATACCCAATTAGTATATCACACTTGTCACATACAACAAAAGCTTATTGTACACTTGCATTTTATTTCCTGTCGTTAAACATACCCAATTATTATACCACACTTGTCCATATACAACAAAAGCTTATGGTACACCTGCATTTCATTTCCTGTCGTTAAACCTACCCGAGTTCGAAAACGGGGTGAAAATCACTGAAATGGCGTGTCGAGAAAGGATTCGTCCGCACACTTACCTCATATTTATACGGCTTCACGAATCCCAGCATATCCGCTTCGTACACAGGCCGTTTTATAACCCACCACCTGTTGGTCCACGTACAGAGGCACGCTGAAGTCAACCGCTCGAACTCGGAGGCTATCCATTGACAAGACGACAGCTGTCATATCCGCCTCCTAGAAGATAATTCTTGTTGAGTCTGTCCTTATCACAATAGTATACTGAAAGGGAGCTACTCCATGCAACAAGGCAAAGCATGGTAGAAGACAAAATTCCCAAACCATGACAAAATTCCAAACCATAAATTCCCAAACCATGACAAAATTCCCAAACCATCACAAAATTCCCAAACCATCACAAAATTCCCAAACCATCACAAAATTCCCAAACCATCACAAAATGCCCAAACCATGACAAAATTCCCAAACCATGACTGCAGTCTTACCCCTCGCGTTAGGAGCCCCATCAAGCCGGTCCAAGTCCCGTTGGGAGCTGCGACCCAAACACGCGGTCCTTAGCGATGACATATTCGTAGCTGGCAATATGGCAACAAGTTAATAAACTGATGATAATGTGACAAAATTACCTCATAAAAATACAACATTCATAGATTTCTGATAACTGTAGAGCTAAGGGAAAATATTTGAAGAGATTTAATAAGCTGATGTGACAAAATTACCTCATAAAATACAGCATTCATAGATGTTTGATAACTGCAGAACCAAGAGAAATATTTGAAGGGATTTAATAAGCTGATGATGTGACAAAAATTACCTCATAAAATACAGCATTCATAGATTTCTGATAACTGTAGAGCCAAGAGAAATATCTGAAGGGATTTAATAAAATGATGATAATGTGACAAAATTGCCTCATAAAAATACAGCATTCATAGATTTCTGATAACTGTAGAGCCAAGAGAAATATTTGAAGAGATTTAATAAGCTGATGATGTGACAAAATTACCTCATAAAAATACAGCTTTCATAGATTTCTGATAACTGTAGAGCCAAGAGAAATATTTGAAGGGATTTAAATAAGCTGCTGATGTGACAAAATTACCTCATAAAAATACAGCATTCATAGATTTCTGATAAGTGTAGAGCTAAGGAAAATATCTGAAGGGATTGAATAAGCTGCTGATGTGACAAAATTACCTCATAAAATACAGCATTCATAGATTTCTGATAAGTGTAGAGCTAAGGAAAATATCTGAAGGATTGAATAAGCTGCTGATGTGACAAAATTACCTCATAAAATACAGCATTCATAGATTTCTGATAAGTGTAGAGCTAAGGAAAATATCTGAAGGGATTTGAATAAGCTGCTGATGTGACAAAATTACCTCAAAAATACAGCATTCATAGATTTCTGATAAGTGTAGAGCCAAGAGAAATATCTGAAGGGATTTAATAAAATGATGATAATGTGACAAAATTGCCTCATAAAAATACAGCATTCATAGATGTCTGATAAGTGTAGAGCCAAGAGAAATTCCGAAGGATTTAATAAGCTGATGATGTGATAAAATTACCTCATAAAAATACAGCATTCATAGATTTCTGATAACTGTAGAGCTAAAAGAAATATTTGAAGAGACTTAATAAGCTGCTGATGTGACAAAATTACCTCAAAAAATACAGCATTCATAGATTTCTGATAAGTGTAGAGCCAAGGGAAACACCAGAAGAGATTCTCACCAGATATTCAGATGTTTGGCAAGTATTTCCATCATATTTATCGCAGTACCAAGGGCTTTACGGGGTGTCTCGTCAGATATGTAAGTGACATATGGACCCCACTGAGGAAAAATCAAAAAGAACATTGATAAACTTCATACATATATATACACATATGGGAGAGGAGAGGGGGATGGGGGGGGAAGGGAGGGGGATGAGGAGGTGAGAGGGAAGGGAGGGAGGAGATTAGAGGGGAGGGGAAGGGGAGGGAAGGAAGGGAGAGGAGGAGGGGAGGAAGGAAAGGAGAGAGAGAGGGGGAGAGGAGAGGAGGGGAGGGAAGGAAGGGAGAGAGAGAGGGGGAGAAGAGAGGAGGGGAGGGAAGGAAGGAGAGAGAGAGGGGGAGAAGAGAGGAGGGGAGGAAGGAAGGGAGAGGGGGATAGGAGGGGAGGGAAGGAAGGGAGAGGGGATAGGAGGAGGGGAGGGAAGGAAGGGAGAGGGGGAGAGGGGAGGAAGGGAAGGAAGGGAGAGGGGGAGAGGAGGAGGGAAGGGAAGGAAGGAGGGGAGAGGAGGAGGGAAGGGAAGGAAGGGAGAGGGGAGGAGGAGGGGAGGGGAGAGAGAGAGAGATATCAATGTACTCACGATAAAGCGAAATCATGATCACATTCTTCACTGTAATTAGAAAAGCATAAAAATCTGAAACACTGTCAGGCTTGAGAACGTTCTACTTTTTACGTCATCTAAACAAGACATCTCGAAATTCACGCCAAAAATAGCTGCTTTCTCCCAGCCTCTTGCCAACACCTTATCCTTCAAATTACCTTCTCGATGCCGACTTTGAGGCACGGTGTCTCCTCTGCAATGAAACCCATGGTCCGCCTTGAACTGTAACGTCGAGTCTTACTTGAGCATGAAGAATAACGCCATCGGGGAAGGCTGCACCTCCATTTATTATAAAACCTATTTATATATCCCAGGTACGGAATAAAGAAGGCTTATCAAATGTTGTTTCAAAGGGCACATTTGAGCTCGCTAATCCCGCATGTCACTTTGGACAAATGCGAAAAAGGTTATCCGATGAGCTTCCAGACTCAAGGTCTCTTGCAAACTTTCAAAGGTTGAAGCTCAATCTGCCACAAAGGCCCAAACACAAGCAAAGCGAAAAAATGGTTATCGGCTGCAAACATGGATACATGCCAGCGCCCCCCCCACCCACCCACACACACACTTCAAGAATAATCTATGTTATTCTCCATGGATTTTGCCCCCGGCGTTTGCAGAATTGGATGCAGTTAGACACTTGTTTTCCTTCTAAAAATGATTAAGAGCAGGTTTACTAACAGTGTGGGCAATGAAAGTAAAATCTGTTATACATCAGTTGAGCAATAACATAAAAATGTATATATTATTCTTAGACCAATGAAATGAAAAGATAGGTCTCTGGTCAGCAATTTTTTTGAAATTTAGGTTAATACTAATTGAAAATGTGCAACCGTTTTTATTTAGCGTTACGATCTTATAGATTTTATTTTACCCATACTATTAGTTGGTAAATATTAATGATACGTGATGTGGCATTCAATATCTTTTCAATCGAGTAAAAAATTCCCGTTTCCGTCTGCATCCTAAAATGAAGTGAAATAGGATAATGCAATTCGTATCCGGTGGCATAAGTTTTGAGAAAATCTTGTGTTCGGAGACGTGGTTGTTCTCTACTTCTTCAGAACAGGTCAAATAACAGGCAAACATTGATGCAACATTTATTACGTTATTATTCAATACACATACAATTGTGCTTTAAAAAATTGTTGGCATTTCCAGAAGTTACCAAACCCATGTATTCCTTAACAAAAGGTTTATTTCCTACAAAGTTACAGGTAGGTGGACAGGAAACTAACAATAATTATAAATTCTACTTTTTTGCACTTTAGTAAAACTTACCTATGGCACCTAGCTGGTACGTTTTTTCATGTCTGCTGTTTTATATGACCGTTGTTAATATGTTCACAATTACATGCTTAATCGATTATTTTATGCTAAATTAGCCACATTAATGTTATTCCTACCACGTTATAATTAAACTGTATAACGAGCCACATTCGTTATTTAAGGTGTCCCATCCATATGTACGTATTTTCACGTTTGTGCATAATCACAAAAAATCAACCTGTACGTTTAGTTTGCATCTAATCTTCAACCGGTACAACACCTCATAAGGATAAAGAAAAGTCCGATATGCGAAGCTGAGCCTCGCCCAGGGTTATGAGGGGAGCCCGGCCTGTGATGACTAACGTCGACTATCAACGTATGCTAATGTAATTATTAACTATAATTATTAACTATAATAATCAAATATAATTATAACTATAATAATCAACTATAATTATTAACTATAATAATCAACTATAATTATTAGATATTAACTACAACAATTAAACTATAAGGTAGTGCTGACGCGACAGAGCTTAGTCCTTACCACCACAGTGCCCAGAAACAGCGGTAACCTCCAGGTGACAATTGCAACCGCCGACACCTCGGATGAGAGGCTGTACTATCAGATGTATCACTGTACTATCCCGGAGGTTACAGCAGCACAGTGCAGTATTCATTCCAAAAGTCATCAAATGTAGGTACGAGGGTCAAGCTACGTCAATCTAGGTCAAGCTAGGTTACGTGAGATTCAAGCACTGGCGAGGGAGGGTGGGCTGGAGTCTGAGTGACCTCGATCCGCCTTTCCTCTTCTGCAGACGTTGGCGCTGAAGTGCTTGAGAGGAACCGCCAGCTCCAGGAGGAACACGAGCACCGAAAAGACCACTCCTGCGGGGGAGGAGGAGGAGGAGAGATTCGGATGAAAAAATGTATATGCAAACATATATGCATATACATTCATGCATATATGCATATACATTCATGCATATATGCATATACATTCATGCATATATGCATATACATTCATGCATATATGCATATACATTCATGCATATATGCATATACATTCATGCATATATGCATATACATTCATGCATATATGCATATACATTCATGCATATATACATATGCATTCATGCATATATGTATATACATACATGTATATATATTCATACATGCATGTATATTCATACATCCATATATATACATAAAAATACATACTCGTACATATGATACATGTACATACATAAAAATACATACTCGTACATATGATACATGTACATACATAAATACATACATACATACATATACATACATATACAGACACATACATATACACATCATACACTCATGCAAATACATTTCCCAATATAGGAAAAGATAACCAAAGCCTCACCCCCGAAGTACACACAGAAGACGCCGTAGTCCTCCAGCTCGAAGGGTCTCAGGCTTTTCGAGGGCGACACCA